CTCATAATCAGTTCTAGTCCAGAGCAAAGAAAACTGATCTGAATGTACAAATCGAATCGAACCGAGCTGAATCAGACGTATTAACCGAATGAATACTAAACTTAAGAGTTAAAAATAACCAAAACCGAATCGTATCGAACCAAAGACCGAATAGATATCCAAAATATTTGAAAAAATCCGAAAATCTGAAATATATAAACACAAAAATATCTGAATAACCCAACCTAAAAAATAAAATAAATAAAAACTAAAATATCCCTTAGAAAAACATTTTGGTTCTAATTCGGTTTCTTGTTCAACCGAAAACAAAACAAAACCAAAAAGAAAAGAATCAAACCGAAACCAAACAAAATTGAAAATTCTAAACAACCGAATATCCCAAAAACCAAAAATAGCAATCGAATACCAAACCGAATTCCATATCCCCATGACTAATCAATTCTCTCATGTTTTAGGGCAACATTATTATGGGATCTTAATCTAAAATTTGTTAGATAAGATAAGATGCTCACTTGAAAACATATTATTATTATTATTTTATTTTATTTTGTCATCTTGAAAACCATATTTTAACGTACGATAAGACAGTGGAACCTTGGATTCTTTTAAATGGCTAGTGTGACTATAGCTACAAAACGATTGGTCAATATAACATTAAGATATCACCACATACAATAAATGAAAAAGTTGACTAGTATATCAACAAATTCCTTAAAATAAGTCACATCTATAGCTAAATAGCATTAGCATATATATACATACCTGCGGAACGGAAGAGGCGGCTTATGAGGCGGCGTACTTCATCGGTACGAACATAAAGAAAGCAGTTAAGTCGGTGAGTAGAGAAGATCTCGATGGTACAAAGACGACGGAGGTTGCGCCAATGATCACCGTAAGGTGCGGCAATCATGTTTGTGTTGTTATACCCAACATATTTTCCGATCATAACATGAGGCCGGTTCGCTAGAACAACGTCGTTCTTCCCAAAGCACTCCTCGGCCGCAACTTTATATGAGGACACCACGTAGACTAGGCGGGAGCCAAGTCGGAGAGACATCACGCCGCCACCGCCGTTGCGGTCGAGGGACTCGGAGAAGTAGCGGAGGGTGCGGTGGATGGGCGGCTTTAGGAGGCGGAGGTGGCCTATTACCGGCAACCATCCCGGTGGAGAAGGTGGAAGATTTTGTTTCTTTTGGTTCAAGAACTTGAGAGAGATTATCAAGAAGATGAGAGAGAAAATAGAGTAGAACACAACTCCAATGTAGTTTTCTTCCATTTTAATTGTTTGCTTTTTGTTTTTGTTTCCTTCTTTTCTCTCTAGTAAAGTTGTTTATATAATGGAAGAAGTGTTAGAAAAATCAAAAGGGTTATATAATTCGAATTTTAGCACGTTTGGGAATCAAGAGGATTTGTGAATAAAGAAAATTGGGATTGTGATGTGATGAGACCAAGTAAGATGTATGTACTTTAAATAATTATACTATAACACTAGAAGTATAATATAATGTTTTTATATTTAAACATTTAATAGTTGTTTTACAAACAAGTAGCAATGATTTAGGATTTGATCGGTAACGTAATCAAAGTTGTAAAAAAGAATTGTAAGTTAGAGTGGTAAATTTTTACGAAATAGTGTAAAGCTGTAAAAAAGAGCGGCACATAAAAGATGTACAAGAAATCAGAGAAATAAATTTTTAATTTGGGTACCGTTTTTATGATTGGTAAAAATTAAGGGAATTTAATGAAAAAACTCCTAACATTGGTGATATCAATTTTCAAACCTTCAACTATTTTTTTAATAAATAAAACCCTGAACTAGAAACCTCTATAAATTAATACTCTATAAATTAATAAACACTATAAATTAATAAATTATGTTGGTCCCAAGTTGGGCTAGTGTAAAAATTAACTAAATTCGATAAGATAATAATTTTTTTGACATCGCTATGTAAAATATAGTCTCAATAATATCATAAATTAATAATCACTATACATATAGATATATATGTATATCTTATATATATAAGTAGATATGTTGAAATATGCTTTTACCTTTTTTGTAAAAATGAATTTTTCTCCTAGACCTCATCTCTACAAATAATATTTATGTTATATTTTTAAACTATAATCTTAGAATATACACCATAACCTAACAAAATAACCAAAATTTTCTTTATGTTTTATGTTTATAAATATGCATCATATTCATTTTTTTTATTTTATAGGACGTTAAAAGATAGCAATTTAGGTTTTAATATATTTAATTTTTTTTTTGTATATAACTGTATTTATTTTTATATGTTTAATTTATTTTAAATTACTTTTCTAAATATAAAATTCAATTCTAAACTACAAACATTTATACAATTTTAAAACGAAACTTGTTTTTGAAAAATTGTCCCAATTCATATTTTAAAAAAAACTTTAAGAGTTAAAAATATTACTATAAATTAATAATTATTAATTTACACTATAAAATAATAAATATTAATTTATAAATAAATTAATATCACTATAAATTAATAAATGCTGTGGTTCCAACATTATTAATTTATAGAGGTTTTACTGTACAAAAATTAACAACAAATTTTTTCTTAAGAATCTTCGTTTTCCATAAAACACGTGAATAATAGATCATCAAAAGAACTCTCAAATGGTGAAATCCTAAAACCTAAAAATTCCAAAATGTTGAACGGTTAGTGAAAAAGAAAATAAAGTAGGTGTAGTAGGCGATTGATACACAGCTAATCAAAGGTGAGACACATAACTAAATTTGAAGATGACTGACATTAACACATCGAGTCTCCAATATTGGAGTGAGGTATTGAGAGAACATATGTCTATTTCATATGGTTTGAATTTTGTAAAATGTTTTGGTAAGTCGAATTCTTTTGTTTGTTGTTGTAATTTTTTTTTTTTTTTACTGTTCTGCTAGAGTATACGAAATTGTTAATGCTATAAATGTATGTTTTTATAGGCTGAGGATTAAATTTGTTAATGTTTTTTTAGTTCAAGGTTTTATTTAATAAAAAAATAGTCGAGGGTTTAAAAATGGATCCGGCCAATGTTGAGAGTTTTTTTCATTAAATTCCCAAAAATTAAGGGGGAATTTCAAAAATACCCTTTTTCATAAATCTCTTTTTAAAAATACCCCCTTTTCAAACTTTATCAAAAAAAACCCACTAAAAATGTTGAAATTATCCAAATATGTGTGTAAGCTTATAAATATATACACAAATTACTTTTATATGTGTATACAACTTTATATACCTTTCATAAATAGCGTAAAAATAAATTATAAAAACCTTATAAAAACCTTATAAAAACCGTATAACCCCTTTTAAAAACCTTATAAAACTTATAAAAAACAATTTAAAATATTTTAAAATATTTGTATCGAATCTCCCAGTAGTAGTTATTATATAGAAGTACCTTATAAACTATATAAAATTTTATAATTTTTTATATTTAAAAAAGGGTATTTTTGAAAATGGATAGAAAAAGGGGGTATTTTTAGAAAGGGGTACAACAAAATGGGTATTTCTCAAAAAATCTCAAAAATTAAAGCTATATGACTTTGTACTGTTTTCGTTTAGTTAACCAATTAAACCCTTACTTTGTTAAAAAAAAATTTTAGAGAAGATTATGTAATTTAGGCCCGAGCTTAAGACAATCCTCAGATAGAGGCAAGTCCAAGTTGTGAACTGTCCTAAAGGTGCATGGTACCATCTTATCAACGTAAATATAATTACCATCCAAATGATCACACTCATGTTGCATAATCCTTCCTTGGCAACCTGAAGCATTCACTTGAGTTCCGGTTTATGGTTCAATAAGTATGAGGAACCGGATCTCGTAACCGGGAATCGATCGTGGCAGAAACCTGAAGTAGACGGAGTCTCAAGAGTTTCCATGGCCGTCGCTTTGGTCTCGATGAGAGTACAGTAAAACCTCTATAAATTAATACTCGATAAATTAATAATCTCTATAAATTAATAAATTTATCCGGTCCCAAGTTGGGACCAGTGTAATTTTAGACATATTTCGATAAAATAATAAGATAATAATTTTTTGAAAATCCTTTGTAAATATATGGTCCCATCAATATTATAAATTAATAATTAGGTAAAATTTTCAAAATATATGTATATATAGACACATTAGTTTTTGTTAGATTTTATTTCTAATATTTTACTATATGAAAAACAGTTAGCATTCTATTTTAATAAATAATTATTATTATTTTATTTGTAATTGAATATATAAAATACTAATTATCATGATTAAATCTTATTTTTAAATATTGTTTTGAAAATATTTGCCAAATTAAGAATATCTCTCTATAAATTAATAATTATTAATTTATCGATAAATTAATACCTCTATAAATTAATAAATTTTCATGGTCCCAACATTATTAATTTATAGAGGTTTTACTGTACATACCGTTCTATTTCCCATTGATCATTTCTTGAGATATGTCTTTTTGGGCCTATTACCAATCTCTCGGCCCATTCTCTTAGCTATTGTTGTAATGTGGTCTTAGCCCAAATAGTTATGTGTTAATGTCGACTAAAGTTAACAAATAACATTATTTTGATTCGAAAACAAAAAAAAAAACTTTCAAAAAAGAATTTAAAGAGAATATAGTACAGCAAAGTACAAAATGAAAGACGTATAGTTTTCGGTTAGCGTGTATTATGGGAAAAACGCTTAAATTGATATTATTTCTTGGCGTACCGGGTTTTAAAGATCCAAACCGGTATCGAACCATTTGATCTAGGTTTAGGCATCCGGTTTCCTCAGTGTATTCCAAATAGAACCAAAATTAATTTGAGTTGGTTCGGTTTTGAAATTGAATCCTACACGGTTTGGTTTAGTTAGTAAGATATTTTCTGGTGGTGTGAGAAAAGGGTAAATTCGTCTTTTAGATAAGTACGGAGTTAAGTTTATCTCTACTTATAGAGAGCGTCGAGACACAAGGCTCTTTTTTATTCACAGCATCGCCTCTCTTCCTACTTCAGCTGCTTTTCTCATTTTATCTCTCTCTCTCTTTCTTCTTCACTCTCAGATACCTTTTTTTGAAGCTTCGAACACAAAAAAGCTCTCAGATCCACAAGAGTCAAGAGACTCCATCTCTTCTTTGATCTTGGTTTATGAGGTAAGATTCCTCATTCTCACTCCTTCTACATCTCTTTCTCTTCCTGGTTCTTTTTCGTTAATGTTGTAATCTCTTCTTTATGAAGAAATCTTGAATTTGTACGTCTCTGAGCATAGAGGATATGTTGTTTCTTCTTTGGGATTTGTGATACTCCTTGTGATTGATGCATTACTATTTCAAATTCGATTTGAGATGAGATTAGGGATTGTGAAAAAACGGATCGCTGATGTTTATGATTTTTTGTGGTTGTAATTAGAATTGGGGAATTAGATTAGAGTGGTGTTCGTTTCCTCAATCGATTATGTTATTACTGCGAATGTTCATGTTTGCGAAATGTCTGTTGTTGTTTTTTTTATTTCTAGGGTTTCTTGTGATTTTAATGGAATGTTTTTGTTTTCTTTATCACTCTCTGAAAGATTGTTCTCTTTTCTTGCTTATACTAATCTATTTCCTTTGTTTTTCCTGCAGCTCGAAGGAGAAACCCACTCTCGGGTAAGTTATCTTTCTTCTTCTCTAGTTTTTAATATAAGTTTTGACGTGTGTTGTTGCTGTTGTTGTTGCTTTGTTTGAATAATTTAAGTGTTTTTGCTTTTTCTTTTGCATTTTTTAATTTACAATTAGGGGTGAGCTGGTTTCTTCTCACTCAGTTGTGGTAATCTTCTCCTGTAGTTTGTTTTGTTGTTAGAAAATTATAGAACTTGTGTAGAGGTTAAGAGAACCGTGTTAAGTGGTTCTTTGGACTTGAGATTTCTTTTTCAGCAGCTTAATTTTTTAGTTTTTTACTTTTACTGCTATCTCTGTATCGTTTTCTTTCTTTGCGTCACATGTATGCTTGGAAGATGTTCTAAATTGTGTATTTTTTGTTATCTGTATATGCAGAGGCACGCGGATTAAGACCCGCAAACGGAATATTGCTGCTCCTCTGGACCCTGCAGCTTTTTCTGATGCAGTGGTCCAGATTTACCTGGATAATGCTGGTGATCTGGTATGCTTGGTGTCTCCAGTCTAGATTTTGATATCCTCCTTGTGATTTGGATATTGGTTTGCTCTGAACTGATAGCTCTTATTTGGTTGGTTTTTAGGAACTTGTTGCCAAAAGTATTGAGTCATCAGATCTTAATTTCACAAGATATGGTGACATCTTCTTCGAGGTAAGTTTACACCAAAACTTTGTGGACATTTCCTTGGTGATCTTTCTTCCCAAAACTTTTTTCTTCCTTATTTCGTTCATATTGACATTTATGGTGTACTCCATCCCTATTCTTAGTTTAGCATCATTTATTTATAACTGTGTTGAATCAAGTGTCTTGCTGAGCCTTAAGTTCACTTCTTCTTATATCGAATCACATCATGTGCTCATGCATTATAACTTCTTGTTTCTCTGAGAAGAAGGGCTTACTCTTCTAGAATTAAGCATTCTCTTTCTGTGATTTCTCATGTCCGCTTGTTTATTTATGGATATTTGTTCAGTCTATAAAATATGTTTATGCCTATTTATTCTGCAGTGTAATTGTTATTGTGGTTCTGTTTTCTTCTATCCAGGGAATGTTTGTTAAAATTTGTTGTGCCTGCTGCTGATTTTGTTTGATTTCTTATTTCTTCAAGATGAATTTTGATTGAGGGATCTTGTCTGTTAAGGTTATTTTCATAGGAGGACGCACACAACCTGGAACAGTGAAATCTGATGAAGGAGAACGCCATACTTACTCTGTAATTGACTGTGAACCAAAGCGTGAAGCCATTTTACCATCTGTTGTCTATATACAGAAAATTCTGCGGAGGAAGCCTTTCCTCATAAAGAACCTTGAAAATGTTACTCGGAGATTCCTGCAGTCACTGGAGCTTTTTGAGGAAAATGAAAGGAAGAAGCTTGCTATCTTCACAGCGCTTGCCTTTTCCCAGAAGCTCTCAGGATTACCTCCGGAAACCGTCTTCCAGCCTTTGCTCAAGGATAATCTTGTTGCCAAAGGGATAGTGCTCTCGTTCGTAACAGACTTCTTTAAGGAGTATTTGGTTGAGAACAGTCTTGAAGACTTGATATCTATTCTGAGGCGTGGCAAAATGGAAGATAACCTTATGGATTTCCTACCGCCTGTAAGGCGAACTGCTGAAAGTTTTGCGGAGCATTTCACGTAAGTTTCTATGTTTGAAGTTTGTTGCCTTCAGTAATATTACACTCTCTAATTGGTATTATGTTAAAGCTTCTTTAGCTCTGATTGCATGCATCTCTCAACTTTTATTTGTTGAAGTTTATTGCACAGAAGAAAAAGCTGCACGTATAGTTTAGGGTCACTGCCGTTGTCCAGAGTTATTTGGTAGAAATGCATGTAAAATTGTACATTACCCTGTTTAGCTTAAAGAATGTACGAATGATTTTGTTCAGCAGTGACTCAACTACTTTAAATGTTCTATTCATTAATCTGACTTCTATTTGTCTAAAATAATGTGATTTTGTTTTTCAGCTATCTCAGTTAATCAAAGCATATTGTACAGATTCGACTGCTAATGCTTTGTTCCTCTTTCTTTACATTCCATGTTTGCATTCCTTTCTTATGTATGCTGTTTTAGTACAATTAATTGAAAATAACGTGTTTGCTTCTTGGATTTCCAGGAATGAGGGGTTGACCGATCTAGTAGAGTACCATTCAAAGAAAATGTTCGAGGTGAAACTGAGGGAGATCAAAACCGTCCTTACAAGCAAGGTCACTGAGGAGGAGACTAATGTAGATGAAGTCATTGAATCGGTGAAACAACAGGTCAAAGATGCTAAGCTCCCTGACATTGAGGTTGTGCGTGTCGTTTGGGATGGTTTAATGGATGCTGTTCAGTGGTCTGGAAAAAACCAGCAGCAAAATGCAAATTCTGTTCTGCGCCAGGTAAGATTTTAGAGATATGATGAGCTAACCATATAAGCTATGCCTGTCATGTCATATAAGAGTTTCATGTAGTGCGTTATTCCATAAACTGCAAATGACTTTTGTGTTAACTTTTAGTAGGTTGGTAGTCATGAATCAAAAAGAAGTGGGAGTCAAGAATATTGAAATCGTTAGGGCAAATAGCTTTTGATGTTTTATTAGCCTTGAAATAATATGTGATCCCTCTTATGGTCACTTCATCTATTGATTATTGATCTGTGTAGGTGAAAACATGGGCTCCGCTTCTGAATACTATCTGCAGCAGTGGAAAGCTAGAGCTGGAGCTGATGTACAAAGTCCAAATGCAATGCTATGAGGATGCAAAGCTTATGAAAGTTTTCCCAGAAGTAGTGAGGTCGCTCTATGAACTCGATGTCCTCGCTGAAGACACTATTCTCCACTGGTTCCGTAAAGGAACCAACTCAAAGGGCAGGTATGTACTTAGTTCCATGACACGATGACATAGTGGTTCACTAAGGAGTTTTATTATTGTAACAAAAAAAGTTATGAATGTGCACTCTGTTGAGATGTATACTTGTGGTGAATGTTGCAGGCAAACCTTTGTGAAAAGCTTAGAGCCATTTGTGAATTGGCTGGAAGAGGCGGAGGAAGAAGAGTGAGTGATGATCGATGGTATCCTAATAAACAAGCAATGAAGACAATAATAATAATTCCGAGTTTCTTCTATCCTTCAACAACCTTTGCTTTGTATTTACTTTGAGATTGATTATTGTGTTTCTTTTTCTTTCTTTTTTTTTTTTTTTGGTTTTGAACTTTTGATGACTGTCTGTTTCCTCATATCGATTTTGGATTCTTTTGCAAACGGATTTAGGCAAAAGCAAAATCTGCTTTATTATGGTTATTTCGGTTTTTAGTTGATTCATTCATACATATTTACTCAATACATTATACGCTAGGCCTGGGCGTTCGGGTACGGGTCGGCTATTTCGGATTTTTGTGTGTTTTGGGTTTAGAGATATAGAACCCGTTCGGGTATTTTTAGATTTCGGGTTCGGGTTCGGATTACCAAAATTCTCAAAACTCAAAATTAAAATATCAAAATATGTCCAAACTACTAAAAAATTTTAAAACCTATATAATTTTTTACTTCAATTTATTTAAATAAGAGTTTATAACTTTAAAGCAATCCTAAATATAAAAAGCCGGATAATTTTGACATCAAATTATTACAAATATATATATTATTAAAAATATTATATATTTATATTATGGATGTATTCGGATATCCGTTCGGGTTTGGATTTTTGGGTTTAGAGATATAGAATCCGTTTGGGTATTTCTAAATTTCGGATTCGTGTTCGGATCGGGTTCGGGTCGGATTTCGTGTCCGGGTATTTTGTCCATGTCTAATTATACATTTGGATTACATAACAAGAGAATTGACAATCCCTTTTCCACTTCTGGTTCTTCTGCAAGGTGCAAGATTAAAGCTTAAACTTTCTAGCTGATACAAACCAAATGAAGAAACACAGATCATCATTAACTTAACCTGAAGCCTTATAATCATTTTTCTGCAAGATTATACAACAGACGCCAAAATGACATAGCAGGATCATCTTGTAAATCGATTTTTTTTTTTATTAAACATCACTTAAAATAAAACGGAGAGACCAAGAAATAACTCTTTTTTATATCTGAAAAATAAATTTAACAATTCACCCACGTACACACAAAAGTTACAACTGTAAAAAGTAAAATTAGAAAATTTAAATACTCAACAATAAACTATAGAGAGAGATAAGTTGACCAAAAGAAAAGAGAGATATAGAAGAAGAAAAAAAAAAAGAACAAAAGCGCCATTATCGGTAGAAGTTTGTGGTTGTTCCTTAAAATCCGATTTCTGATTCCTTCCATTTGGATCCGATTCTATCTCCACCTTCAAGCAACTCTCTTCTTCTTCTTCTTATTGCAAAAAAGATTCTCTTTTTCTTGTTTTGTGGATGAGATTCTGGATAAAACAATCATCTATTTCTGAACAATCAATCTTATAAGGACTCTCTCTCTCTCTGCTTCGAACTAAAGATTCTTAGGAAGCTCTTGTTTTTGTCTGATTTTACAGTTTTGTAATTGTTCTACGAGTTATAAAGTTGATTCCTTTAAAACACCCTTGTGAAGAATTTGTTCAATTTTACAATCCTGGCGATAACAGAATTGAAAAGGGTTCCAAAGGTTCCATCACCTGAAAGCAACGGTTTTGATTGTGTTGGTGGTTTGGATTGTCTGATAAGCTTAATCAGGGCCCTTGATATGGGGTCCTGCTTATCATCTGGAGGTGGAGGAGGAGGAAGTAGGAGAGCTCTCCATGGTGGTCCTCATGTTCCTGGACCTGGGAGAAGGAGAAGGCCTGCCAAGAGGAGATCTGGGTCTTGTAGTTCTTCTTTTGATAATACAGAGGAGCCTCTTCTTCATAGGATCCCTGGGAGGATGTTTTTGAATGGCTCTACGGACATTGCCTCTCTGTTTTCTCAACAGGGCAAGAAAGGGCCTAATCAGGATGCTATGATTGTCTGGGAGGTGAGTTTTGCTAAAGACCAACCACATTTGTTGTATGCTCTTATTGGTTTAGTTAGAAACTGTCAGAAATGGAATGTTGCGGTTTAGAGATGGATTCTACACATCTTTAATTGCAGTTCTCACCTATGAACCTAGTGTTACTCATTTAAATGGTTTGTATGTTTTTAATGGTTTAAAGTATAGTTCTTTAGTAATTAATCCTGGTTGTTACATGTTTTGAAATGTGTTCAGAATTTTGGGTCTATGGCGGACACTGTTTTTTGTGGTGTTTTTGATGGACATGGTCCGTATGGCCACATTGTTGCAAAGAGAGTGAGGGATTTGCTTCCACTTAAGTTAGGCTCTCACTTGGAGTCCTATGTTTCCCCTGAGGAGGTTCTTAAAGAGATCAGCCTCAACACTGGTGATAGAAAGACCTCGGAAGACCTTGTACATATATCTGCGAATGGAGAATCTCGAGTCTACAATAAAGATTACTTAAAGGATCAAGATATGGTTCAAACACTAATAGGCTCAATTGTTAAAGCCTATAGATTCATGGATAAGGAATTGAAGATGCAAGTGGATGTTGATTGTTTTTCAAGTGGAACTACTGCTGTAACCATGGTCAAGCAGGTAGTTGGACCAAAAGTTCTGATGATGTTTCTTATTTTATTGCACAAATTCATCTTTGTTTTTCTTGACTGTTTTTATTTTTATTTTTTCGGGGTTTTTGTTAGGGTCGACATCTTGTTATCGGAAATATTGGGGATTCAAGAGCGGTACTTGGTACGAGGAACAAAGAAAATAAACTTGTTCCTTTTCAATTAACTGAAGATCTCAAACCAGATGTTCCATGTAATCTACTGAAGATCTCAAGCCTTCTTTTGGTTATATTTTTTGTACCATCTAATTTATCAACTAAAGTTTGAGTTTTCTTGTTCTCAGCGGAAGCAGAAAGGATAAAGAGATGCAAAGGACGTATATTTGCTCTTCGAGATGAACCAGGGGTTGCCCGTCTATGGCTTCCTAACCACAACTCACCTGGTCTTGCCATGGCACGTGCTTTTGGAGATTTTTGCCTCAAAGACTTCGGTCTCATTTCCGTGCCTGACGTGGCTTACCGACGCCTCACTGAGAAGGATGAATTTGTTGTCTTGGCAAGTGATGGGGTAAGAAAAATTATAGTGTTTCTTAAAATCTATCAGTAAAGTCAAAGTTCAGTTTCAGAATATTTTTGAACTAGTGAGCTCATTCTCTGAACAAGCATAGACTTTGAATATAAACCATATAACTAAATGTGTAATGTATGTACCAACCTTGCTAGATTTGGGATGTATTGACGAATGAAGAGGTTGTAGAGATTGTAACCAAAGCAGCAACACGATCCTCAACAGGTCGAGCCTTGGTGGAGGCTGCAGTGCGGAATTGGAGATGGAAGTTCCCGACTTCAAAAGTGGACGACTGTGCCGTAGTTTGCCTCTTCCTTGACTCCCAACCAAACAGATTATCAACTGCCTCTTTCTCAAAGGAAAAACACATCAGCAATGCCGTTACTGAACCTGAACCAGACACAGCATCAACATCAACATCAACTCCAGACTCAGGAACCGGTTCGCCTGAGCTAAATGGAGTAAAGAGAATCGACACACTTGTGAATCTCCCAGTATATGTGCCTACGAAAGAGTAGTAAGATGGAACAGAGGCATGAGCTCAATGCCTCTTATGCTCTATGTTTCATTCAACAGTAACTGTTTTGGTAACTTCACTTGGGGTAAATTAGTATTACACGCCCGCTTCTGTGTGGCTGATTGTATATATCTTCTCTTCCAAATCATTGTAATACTTTTGCTGCAACTCCTCTGTTAATAAAATTATGAAGCTGCAATTGTTTTTTCCATAGCAAGTTATTTGAGAAAATTTTGTTTGTTGGAAGAAGAAATCAGGCTTCTTGAGCCACTTTTGTGAAATAAATATGGTTTTTGTGTACTGATTAGTATTTTATAGTTAGTGTTACATTCTATAAACTTATATGGCAATGTCAATGTTAATATAGATAAGTGTGGAAAAGTTAAGCAAACTGAATCATAGGTCTCTTAGTTGCTCTGTTTTTGGAGTTTGTACTGTTTCATTCTTCTCTTAGTTACTACTTACATTCTTGTAGGAAAACTTGGTAAGTATTTTTACAGAAACAGTTAAATCAAAAGACTAGTAAATAAAGATAATTACAGCCAAAGAGTTCACCAAAACAGTACATATATTTTATACAACAAAGAATGAGTAGTTTGTCTATGTAAATTACATGATCCAAGAAGCCAAATCACATCCACAAAAGGATCAAATGAATCAAATAATCAAACCAATTATCTTCTTTCTCTTAAGCAAAACTATGAAGTAAAAGAATGGAAAACCCAAAATAGTATCGACAATAACGTTACAAGTGTTCCGTTCATCACCGAAGAACCCGCTGTGAGATTGTCTGCTCCGAGCTCGTAAGCCGCTCCTGATCCATCTTTTACTTTGATGCTTGACGAACCTAACGAAACAAAACATTTTTTGGTGTGTTTGACTTCTTCTTTGATCATCCATCCTCATCTAACTATTTCTTGAGTTTTAAAGACTTACAGTTGTGGTCAGCCCATCCAATGACCTCATTCTCCAGATCATATACTACTAACTTGTTTGAAAGTACCAAATCTGAAGTCAGACACATGAAGTGTGGCACATGTTATGTTATTTTTCCAAATGCTATCACCTAACATTTTCTTTTATGGCTAACTTGAAAAAGAAAAACATAGCATCTGACAAAGTTGATCACAGAGTACAACCAGTTAAGGATTTTTCATGTTAGAAGACATGTAAGTCTATGAAACATCAAGTGCATATGATTTAATGACCAGAAATATCCAATGAGAGATTTACTTAATGGTAAGATCTGAAAATTTACCTCCCAAAAGGATTACATCGGATCCATCCTGAGTCGTCATTCCACCAGATTGCCAACCAAAGCAATACATGTCTTCCTGTTTGGGAAAATTCATATATTTGGAAATGAGACAATTCATAAAAACTCTGTAGTCATATCAACAAAAAAAAGCTTGGAAAAGTAAAGAAGAAAATACTTTCTAACTTAAAACTTATTTGGTTGATGGGAAAGAAATATGCAAGAACAGGTGAAACTGAATCTAACTTGAACTTGGATAGTTCCCCACAATAACACCAACTTTAACTACAACCTCATTCGAATCTACTGAATCACATTAAAGGGGGAAGCTGCATATTAACTTACACGAAGCGAGAAAAGATAGTCATGCGGGTAAACAGAAAGTTTGAGTGAGTCTTCAAAATGAAAATTGACAACCGGAAATGCTTTATCTGTGCTGCAAGTACAAGGAAGAATATCTCAGCAAAACAAACAAAAACTCGCAACATGTAATAATAGAGAACCATGCGTTTTAGCTTCTTGGCCACTAGTTATGTCAGAACATCTTATAGATCAAGTTATGTCTATAAGAAAGGTGCGCTATCTGTGATGAAATGTTTACTAAAGGCAAATATATAGCGACCATTGGTCTCAAAAAAATGAAAACTATGAACAGGAAGCAAGTTCATCTTACTTTGAAGTGAAACTGAAACATGCAAAAGTTTCCTGTACCATGTGCAGTTTCACCGGTTGTTTAGCAGTAATCTATATATACAGAAAATACCATGTCAGGGTTGTGAGATCAAAGTAGAAACAAGTAGTGAAAAGAAATCTCACCTTTTCAATTAGTGAGTTGTACAGATTCTCTGGTAAGTAAGCTAAAGTGGTACCACTGTCAATTATGGTTCCTCCATTGCCACCAGAAGTAGTTAGGCTTGGTGGAAGGTCAACAGTGTCACCATCCACATCTAGTCCCTTTAAAATGACGTTGTAATGTACCCTATAATTGTTACATAAAGTTACTACAAGAATTAATATTTAAAATGTATATACCACAGGTACAAATGTCTTAAGCCTTTAGATGCATGAGAGGATTCTACATTCAAGCATCAGGGAGACAATTCTCTTAACTTCGTAATATCGACTCACTAGTGGAAAATAGTTTTCAGATGACATCATAGTGAAACCAAGAATAATCAGATCATATATCAAACTACATAACACATCACAGACAAGGCGGAGACCAAAGAGGTCTTCAATAAACAGGATAAGACCATCCTCAATGGGGGTATCTTAGAAGGCTAAGATACCCCCACTTTTTCAAAGAAAATATGTTATATAAGGATTTTCTTTGAAAAAGTGGAGGTATCTTAGCTTTCTAAGATACCCCATTGAGGATGCCCTAAGGCCCCTACTCTAATTTCTAATCCAAAGCTTGAATGACTTGAGATGGTCTCACTTACTGATTAGGAACCAAAGGGGTTGTTTTCACTACTGGTGATTCAACTTCCCCAACAGCAAAAATTCCACCTCCATTTACATTGTCCAAGCAATGTGAAAAAATTCTCTTCACACTCCCCCCTGCAGCTAGTTGTGAAATAACAGATGTGTTTGATTGTCCAAACCCCATAATGCCATCAACTGCTGAGTCAGTTTGCCCAAGCTGGCCAGATTGATTTTTTCCGCACCTGTCTCACAGAGGAATCCTTATGATGAGAAGCATTTTGGAAAAAATAGGGAAGCAAGCTCATGACCTATGGTCACAAGCCAGGACTCAATAATGAATGCTAAAGAAAAATACAAATAGAGGTTTGCATAGGACAAGAACAATTTCATAAGATGGCACACACACAAACTTGTGATATGTATATACTAAGTTAATGAAACATCTAATGCAGTGATGAAAAGTGTAATGCTATAAAATCACTCACCCGAATATAACTTCCTGCGAAAGGGGTACAGTTCGAAGATTTCCAGTAACTTGATCCAATGTAATGTTATCCTTAATAAAATCTCCATCACTTGTACTTCCATCTCCATACACAACATGATAACTACAAGGCTTCTTCGCCCCACAAGTCTCCGTTTGCATAATAAACGAACAAAAATCATCCTCACAGCCAACATTCTTCGAAGTCGAGGATCCCTTAGAATCATACAATGATAAAGGTATCTGCACAACAAATCAAAACACACATCTGACATTCCGAAACATAGCTCGTAAAACCAAAGCAGTATCGATAAACACGGGGTTTATAAAGAGAAGCATACACCAAGATCAGTTTTCACAGGACATTTAGGACACGGCGCGCAATTAACCCAAAGTATATCACTTCCTGTATCAACTTGAACATAGTAATCCTTTGGTGGTGAACCAAGCCTGATTTTTGTGAAGTATAAACTGAAAAAAAAAAACAAATACAAATCTCATAACTACATTGCAACCAAATGCTCTCAATCTAATTCGTTTCCGGTTCAATTTCGCCGGTTTATCTAAATCCTAATTTCACTATTTTGATCCTTATCAATGTTACCAAAACTATCTAAAATGTTTCAACGATCCAATCTAGAAATTGAAGAGAGGAGAGAGATTGTAGAAGAGAAACCCGATAGAGTCGGCGCGGCTATCACCACCGAGAGGAAGGTCAACGTTGGCAAGCATACGAGCGTGACGGAAGCTGTCGTGAGATTTGAGCTCGAAGAGCTGTTTCTCTTTTCCGGCGAACTTATGAGTCACATTGAATAAGAAATTACCGGAAACAACTTGGATCGTCAAAATAAAAACCGCCGCGAAAATGCGTGAAACTCTTCTACTCAGATCCATTAAAATTTCTCCGATCTAAAAGTCGCCGCGAAATTGAATTTGTTCCGGTGATGTGAAATTAAAAAGTTAATTATTGTGTTGAAGGAGTTTGTGATGATGAAGTAAGGGAAATGGAAAATGAAAGAGAGACCAAAGGAAGGCAACAGAGGAAGAGAGGGAGACATGGGAACGAGAAGAGAGGGAAACGTAAGAGAAAGCGACGCGTTTTCAACGGTGCTGAACGAACTTTTTTTTGCTTCATTCTTTATTATTTTGAAAAATAAAATAAAATTATTATTGTTGAATTAAAGTAATGTTAAGATTATAATAATACCTAATGTAATTCATATATAAGAAAAATTAGAAACTATACTTTAAAAGACATTGGCTTTAAATAATTCAATGAAAATATGTTAAATAACATATTAACAAAAAAAAATCTTTTATTAGTACAAGTAAACATTCAATTTGGTAGGAACATTTAAGAGGAAAATAATCTCTCGCAAATTTACAATAAAATTGAAAAGCATATACTACAAACGTTATATTTTTAGCAAATATCTTGTAAATTTATATATTTTTAATATTTCCTTGCAAATCCATAGCAGGAATATAATTTATTTTCGTCGAGAAATAAAACATAGTTGTTTTGAAAAATATAGCAATATCTGTGAAGATAGACATACTGTACATTGCGAGTGATATGCTATGAACATTTTTTTCTTGCGAAATTTGTAAAAAATTTGCTAAACCAAAATGTAAAGGATTATATTTTCTCTTGACTCCTTCGCCATAGGCTATTAGCGAAGGAATCCTTAGTCGTTAGAGAACATTTGAGCTAAGATTTTTATTTATAGAAATCTAGGCGATGAAAATACTATATTCCAAACGCAGTTGTCCCTTGTTATGTCGTTCATTACCATCTCCAATATAATCCCTCCGAGTATACGTTTCATTCACAAGATAAGTACTGTAATCATACTTTAACCATTAAAATTTGATTTCTTGGTCATATTAAGTATTAATGACACATGCTTAACTTTTCTTAGACTTGTTGAAATATATGATATATTGGCCTATATTTATTCAATCTATTTTGAACATATATATACTCATGTTTGGTTTGATTGATTGGAGACATGACTAAACACATGGCATGCATAGTTATAAACCGAAACATGAATTATTGCGATTGATAGGCATATGCTTTAATATATAGTTGATCGGCACATGTATGTACTGATTTTTCGTTGATTAACCGAGATCATTGTTTGGTATATTTGATATATAGAGGATGATATTATTATTGTATCACTATAGAGATCTATACTTTATTACTTGTTCGATATAAATTTACATGATACATTGGTTATTGATAGAGAGCTTAATATCTAGAAAACCATATGTAATATAAAATATCCTCTCAGCTTATGCTTCTTTATTGGATCAGGGACAGCTAGATATCGTCGTAACGACATATAGGACATGAAAGATTGTGGTAAAGCCACTGAAAAATACAGTCCTTGTGAAAACTATGGGAACAAACAAGGTTCATGGTGTTTCTTACTTCACCCAACGCTTCTAGACATATTGAGCATACGTCTTGTTCTGTTCGTATCTCATCTTCGGAGTCATCATCATCACTAATCCAAGTTTCTTCTATAACTCCAACTTGTGTTACAATCAAGAAACCTCTTCCTCCTATCTCTTCTCGGTAACGACTCAGCTCCATCGCTTCTTTGTAGATACTAGGAACCGCACACTGGCGAATACGGTCGGGGATCCCGTGGAACTTCAAGAGAATGTCTACTAGTCCACGACACCTTTTCTCGGTGACAAGACAATCAGGTGGGATCTTGAACTCGAACTCTGTGTTTTTCTCCATGCTAATGTCTGTTTGTTGAACTAGGGTTTCACGACCATTACGAGTGCTACGCGTATAGATGCGTCTGAGTCCTATGATCCTTAGTATAAACGATATATCATCATTGAGATCGTTGGCGTATGTTTTGGTTTCGTTATAGACTATCTTACATGTCTTTGTTGCCATCGAGAGAGAGGTATCCAAAACGTTAGTGATTGATTTATGTTATCCAAGGACAAAACAAGAACAAGTTGTGTGTGATTTCTCTGATTTGTAATGAACAGATCTCTATTTATAGACTTCGTTATGTTTTTTTAACTTTTTGTGTTTTCCTTTTCTTGCAAAACAAATTTGGATTTTTCCCTTTTTTTCTTTCTTTTTTTTTGTTTATAGGTAGTAAAAAAGGAAATTTCTATTTTATTTTTACCTTTTTTTTTGAATTTCCAATATAACGTTGACTTTATATTACACCAAGTATTTGACTAAAATGATGATGAAGAGAAGCTTAATTATATCAGTGGAATATTCTTTATGTAGGTAAGTAAAACAATAGGATCATCCAAGTCTGATAACTTCATGGTTTATGGTTTTGAGTGAAGCACATTGACATTTCTCTTGATAATCATTTTCATGTTACTGCGACGCTCTACAATCGAGAAGTACAATAAATTATTATGCCTGGGAATGCTACTCGAACTGAACCGAACCAAGAGTTTCGGTTTTCGGTTCGCTTTTGGTTAAGAGAAGAAAATCGATTGGACGGAACTATAATATGCAATCGGTTATCGGTAAGGTACACTTTAACCAATTACTTATCCGAATTTAATCGAGTTATCATGTTACCCAAAATTAATTAAACAGTGTAACCAAGTCATCCGTATTACCCAACATTAAACTGAATTTCCAAGTTAACCGAAATAATTAACCCGATTAACTAAACTAACAAAAAATTCTAAAAGATTTGGTTCATTTTCGATAACAAAAAAACATAATCGAAACCTCCGATATCCAAACCAAACCGAACAGTTATGTAATGCGGTTACTTACAGTAACATTTCTCAAATTTCCAACTACGCAAATTATCTAACCCGATTCGAATATCTGACCCAACCCAAATTTCTCAAGCCTAGAAAACTATGGCCATGAATGGTTGTTTGTTTTTTTTTAATGATTTTTAGAGTATGATTTTTGGTTTTTGATTTTTAGGTTTTTAGTTTTTGTAATAGATACAAATTTTTGATTTTTTACCTTTTTTATTTTAATAGAAAAAAGAAAAATGAGAAGTGTCGTTAGTGTTTCCTTAAAAATTTCATATATGTGAATTTTGGTTTTTATTAAAAATTGTTAAAGAAAACTTAAAACTAGTATTCTAATTTTTTTAGGAATCTATTTATTTTAAAATCTTGAATGGAAAAATAGGTTTTTGAAAAATAAAATCCAAAATCTATTGTATAATCTATTACCATTCAGGGCCTATAATTGAAAAGAATTTATACAACCTCGAAAATATAACGTATCTCATATAAAAAAACTCATCCTAATAATAAAAAGATTATTGAATTTTCGTTTTTTCTTTATATTATTCTTTAATATTTTTGCCGGCAAAAAGCGAGTTAATTTTTGTATATATAATTAAATATGAACGTTTTTAAATGTTAAAAACTTTTAGTAAACCGTGTTAATTTTGGTTAAATCCAATTACACTATCACCTTCAAATCCGCACAGATCTCTCTCTGCTTCGGAGCAGCTTCACACCTTCAAGCTCTCATCACATCACCCATCGATTCTTCCCAATGCTCTTCTTCTAAAACCGTAAGCATTCTTCAATTCCACTTTCTCAGATCTCAATTTTCTCAGATTCGCTCTTTCCCGAGAAAATTTTTAAACAAGAGAAGATTCATCCATTTCCTCTCTTCCGAAACAGATCTAGCAACAACTCTCGTTTCACCCATGGGTTTGCTTTCAAACCCTACCCGTTTGGTTCTCGTCTTCACCATCTTCTTCTTCTTCTTCGTTTCTTCCATCTCCGCTCAGGTATATATATATATATATACACGATTTCAATTTTTCCTTCATGGATTCGTCTTTTCAAATTCATGTATGAAACGTCTTTTTGTGATTATTTTATTTAGGATTCGGTGGTTGAGAATGAGAGACAAGAATCAGGAGGATCTGGTAAAGAGCTTGGTCGTCGTGGAATGGTATTTTTAAAAAATTTCGATCTGGCTTTTTGCTTCTTTTTTTTTGTAGGTGAATCTGAATCTTGTTTAGATTCATGTTTATATAAGATTCTTTAATTTTTGTTTATTATATTAGATTGGTACTGAACGTGTTGGAGTTGATCCTGGTGTTGACAATATTGCTGCTCTTGGTTTGAATCTTGATCTTGAATCTACTGGCCCTGGTGTATTTGATGCTTTGCTTTCGAGTTTCTCCATGATTCTTGTTACCGAGGTTCGTATGATTTCACCTCTAGGGTCATTCTTAGTTGCAGAGAGTTGATAAATTTGTAATCTTTGTTTCTCATGATATGGTTTAGATTGGAGATGAAACGTTTATAATAGCGGCGTTGATGGCTATGCGACATCCTAAAGCTACTGTTTTGTCTGGTGCACTTTCGGCTTTGTTTGTTATGACTGTAAGTGCAAGATTACTTGAATCATTTTATTGTGAGTTTAGCCTAATCATGTTTCTTGAGAAATCTTAGTATTAGAAAGGGTACTGTCTGATATCTATGATTCTCATGATTTCGATTTAGATACTATCCACTGGACTTGGTAGAATAGTGCCAAACTTGATATCAAGGAAGCACACCAACAGTGCTGCTACAGGTATGTTGTTCTCTCATGGTGTTAGTGTGACATTGTCAAAAAATTTGTTTGGCTTTTCAAAGATTTTGTTAGCTGAAAACTTTTGAGAGCACTATACAACAACTATATGATTATGAATTTTGTCTTAGTCCTTATCCATTCATCTTTTAGTGCGTCTTCTGATTATGATTTTGCAACTCTAGTTTACTTGGACCGTGTATCTTGGTATCTAAGTTTATTTGACATGTAGAAATGAAGTACAATTGATTCATTTAGTCGAAAAAATACTATCCAAGCTGATTTCTTCATGTCTTATCTGCGATTATGTAAAACACTTAATGTTGGAGTAGTAAATATATATATATATATTTATATTATCATTGGCATTGTTGCACTTAATTGTAAGTTTTGGTGACTCTTTCTTTTTAATCTGAGTCTCACTTGAAGGATCTTTCATCTTTGAATATGCAGTTCTCTATGCATTTTTTGGTTTGCGACTACTCTACATTGCTTGGAGATCTACTGATTCAAAGTCAAACCAGAAGAAGGAAATGGAAGAAGTATGTGATTCTCAAGCTACCTTTGTTGCCAGTTGTTTGCATCTCTAAAAATTAAAAGAGATTGTGCCTGAAATTCTGATTCGCTATTAACATTCAACTTTGTCTGACTTCCCATTATCTTTGGTAAAGGTTGAAGAGAAGCTCGAGTCAGGCCAAGGAAAGACACCCTTCCGTCGCTTATTCTCAAGATTTTGTACCCCAATATTTTTAGAGGTAATCTTCTATTGGACATATTGATGCTTTTGGTTTGTAATTTAGCCGTAAACTGTTAAAAAGGTTGACTCTAACTCGTCTCTTGTATCTTTTTGCAGTCTTTCATCTTAACCTTTCTAGCTGAATGGGGCGACCGTAGCCAGATTGCCACAATAGCTGTAAGAGTCATGTCTCATATCTAAGCTTTTCTTAGTAAAATTGACCGATCAATGACTTTTATCTGTTGTATTTTAAGTTGGCGACTCACAAGAACGCCATAGGAGTCGCCATTGGCGCAACAATTGGACACACGATGTGTACTTCACTAGCGGTTGTTGGAGGAAGCATGCTGGCTTCAAGGATCTCGCAACGCACAGTTGCAACTGTTGGTGGCCTCCTCTTCCTAGGATTTTCAGTGTCGTCCTATTTTTATCCTCCTCTGTAGTGATTGTGCTTCTTTCGAAAATGGGTGTTAGTGAGACATTGTCTAAGTAAAGTATCTGTCGTTTCAATTATTTTTGTTTGATTTCAATGGCAAAAGTAAAGAATCCAACGTCAATGCGTTTTCTTATCTTGAAGTATAACAAACGTAATTAATAAATTTTTGTTTTAACTTAGAAACATGAAATCCCCAATCTTCAACGTTTAAATATAATTAATAAATCTCTATAACGTATTATTAGATTATTTTTTTTTAACTTAGAACTATGACATCCACAATCTAAAAGTTGAAGTAATATTAATATTAGAAAATGTAAAATATTTTTTTTTTTTTGAAATGTTTTAAAATTTTTAGTGTTATTAATATTTTAACTCTACACCAAGTTTAAGCTAAAGCTAAAGTATGAGCTAGATTAAAATTATTTTTCTATATAAAATCCAGTGTTCTAAAATACGGCATGATATGTACAACCATATATATGATGTATATATGTTGTACGCTGGGAAGCCATATCATATACTCTTTGTATACGGTGAATTCCGCATAAACGACATGGTTTAAAAACCGGGTGAAGTTATTTCATATCTAGTTCATAATTTAATTGATATTACATATAAGTGAGGAATTGATTAATAATTATGAAGAGATAACGGATCATTATTTTGAGACATCAAACCGGCTATACAACAACAAGAAGTTCCATATTGATCTCCTAGACAATCTCCTCCTTTGGGGTGCCCCATAGAATTGCATAATTTGATGCATTCTGATTGGCTCCTACACCCATCAATACACGGTTTTTTTTTTTTTTTCATCAAAATATAATTATATTTGATAATTAAAAAAATCGTAATACAATTGGTCTGATAGCCATACAGGCGGATTTAAAAAATCAGAATAAAAAGGAAACAAAATACATCCAGAAGAAGCCAATACATGAGCAACTTTGTTACAATTCCTATTACAAAAAGCAAATGAAACATTGGAAAACTTGTTAACCCAAAAGAGAATGTCTCGATGAACAGCTTCAATTGTAATATCGGAATATTGTTTTTGTAATAGATCAATCAATAACTTGCAATCTCCTTCAAAGCAAATATTCATAATACCCCTTATCCAAACTTGTTGTAATGCAGCTAGTAATGACTTTGCTTCGGCTTCTATTGGCGAAATAGACGTTCCTAGCTGAGAAGCTCCCCAAC